CGCTGGGTACTCCTGCACGAATATTCCAATGTGGTTTTACTGCAAATGACAAATAATCTGTGTCTGAATCTAAATAATGCCCTCCTGTCTGACATGACTACATATCCTGTCCACTTTTGAAATGCCTTTATTAATATTTCACAGGAAACGTACATAAAAAAACCACAATGAATAACAATAACTACGTCCACAATAACAAGTATGTAAAAATATCTCCAAATAACTATGTACATTATATTTAAAAGTGTAAGATGTCCCATGGAAGCTGGGATGTAATGTCTCTGAGGTGAACCCTCTCCCTCCGTCGTCCCAGTTTGCTTTTGTGCCTTCTCACTCATCCCACCGTCACGTTGCTCTACTTTGACCTCTGCTGCCGGGACGTCCCACGAACCCTGCCTGCCCGCGCTCTGGACGCTCTTGGCCTTTGATTAATATTGTAATGAGTTTCATCTCCCTCTCCGCTCCCCACTCCCCGAGCCCCCGACCGGCTCTCGCTCTAGTCTGTTTCATCGCACTTCAAACGGACCCTTCTCCACACACAGCAGCCTGGACCCGGGGACCGCAACATCTGCACAAGGAGGAGGGGAAGGGGGGTCAGGTTGTGGGTGTTTGTGTGTGGTGGAGGGAGGGGGGGGGGGGGGGGGGGGGCAGATGCCACGGGGGCCCAAAAAAACAGCCGGTATGGGGTTCGCCGCAGGGAGAGACGGCGGGGCGAGAGAGGGCCACCCTGCCTGCTCCCCCTTTGACAGTACAATTAGGTAATTAGTCACCGCAGAGATAATAAGCTCATCATGGCTTGTCGGTGTGGGTTTTTAGCCTCTGTGCAAAGGTTTTAATCAAAGGGCAATTTCGGCGCATGTCCTTGCTCTGTGTGGAATCTAAATTTAAAAAGGTTAGCAGAGAATAATCCTGGCGATCCATCAGAATAATAGTAGATACATGTTGATAGATATATTTATAGATACTTTTAATTCAGGAGTCCAACAAATCCATCTATACCAGGTGTCTCCAACCTTTTTCACCCAGAGAGCTACTTTCCTGAGACAAAAAAAGATAGAGAGAGATACTTTCCTGAGTCGAAAAAGACAGAGCTACTCTACTCCTTTAAGTGGTGCTTGGAAAAATGTTGTGATTTATCGATGGGAGCGAGTCTGATATTGGGTAAAGGGATTTTGATCAACATCGTCATTATTTGTTATACATATTTGTTACAAGGCAAGTTTGCATTTACAATAATACAGTACATTAAGATAATGAATAATACATTCTGAAATATTTAGTATATTAGTAAACTGTTGTTTTCTAAATCCTTTGGCGAGCCGCAGGTTGGAGACCCCTAATCTATACAAACAACTACATACTTAATCATAAAAGTTGACTTAATGCATCAGTACTTTAGGTCACAGCAGCAGAGGTGGTGTAGCCGCTCATGACTTCATATAAGGATGCATTAGTTTTGTAGAGAGTTTTTATTGTTGTTGTCAGAGAGAAAAGTGAAATTAAGTTTAGATCAGCATCACTGCATAGTTGGATGTAAGCGAATAAAGCCTGAGCTTGTGCTTCACAGGAAGAATGTCTTGAATTTGAATCCACCTCCAGGCCTTTCTTTGCTGAGTTTGCATGTTCTCCCCGTGTATGTGTAGGTGCTCCTGGTGCTCCGGTTTCCCCTACCACTAAAAACATGTACAATAGGTCTGAGTGAGTGAATGGATAGTGTTGGTCGGGGGCTTTGATGCTTCAGTGTGTTCGGCGTCTCACTTCCGACATCACGTGTGGAGAGAATAAAACAATATGTGAACTCTGAACATTGAAAAGTGCTTTGGGGGACCTTGGTCTGTTAGGGACTGGCCTCCTGCTGGGAATCTGAGGAGAACAGGGACTGGCCTCCTCCTGATGCCCAGAGTCAGACCTAAACATGGGGAGGCAGCATTTCAGATTTATTAATTTCCTGAAAATGTGAGACAGGCTTCAACTCTGACAGTGTTTAAATCCAGTTTATAAACAGTAGCAGTGGTACAACTGAAGGATTTTATCTCCATTATTTTTGACTGTACTGTGATAATGTATGTTTTTAATGCCTTGTGTGACTTTGTTTCTATCTTGTTAGCAAGTAACATTTTTATTTATATAGCACCTTTCACAAAGCGCTTTACAATGGTTGTGGGTATTTGTCTCTCACTCCATACAGAGACAGAAGCGAGGTCGCCAGTACAGGACGTGCATGCCAGATCACGCAGGCGCGGGGAGAACACGCAAACTCCACTCAGAAAGGCCCTCTTCTGCCTGGGATACAAACCCAGGACCTTCTTGACACAACCAGGAGTGGCCTTTAATTGGTTCAAGTAACTCGTACAACTTTGGGTGTAATTTTGCACATATTCCGGGGGCCTCTGTCTGGTCTGCGGAGTCTGAAACAGAATACATACATATTTGAACACACTCCCAGCTCACCTCTCTCCTCTGCAGCCGCTTGTCGCCTCGCAGCCCCTTTTGACAGTTCAATTACATAATTAGTCACAGTGGCACTAATAAGCTAATCATGACTTGTCTGCTTGTCCCTGCTCTCCATGTGAATAGCCCTGCTGTGTCCCCGGGGCCCCTGGTGCTGAGGTTTGGAGGGGGTGGGGGGGCACAATTACCTTTGAGTGTGGGGCCTCAGCGACACAGAGACAGGCTTCAGATCAGCGACCAAAGCAGAGACAAGGGTCAGGCCGGGCTCTCACATCCCATTATTCAGGCTCCGATCAGACAGCAGCAGCAGGGACCACACCACAGACACCTGCAGGGGCCCTCATGAACCACAAGGGGGCTCTATGTGGACAACGTTTTTTTTTTTCATATATTACAGCATGGTCAATGAGGATTCCAATGCAAATAAAAAAAATGCACTGATTAATACCGTTTAAACCTCAGTCTAAGTGACAGGCTTCATAGACTGTATATAGACGGACCATGCAAAGATCTTCCCAATAGTGAAGTGCTCATGGACAAAGTTTCGCTCTGACTCCTATTGACTTGCATTGTACAAAATAAAACTCTTCTCGTTCAGTAACTGTTTTATCACCATTTTGGGTTGGACTAGTTATATTGTATTTGGTTTTATTTTGACTTCTCTGTGATTTCATTTTTAGTTTTACTTCCTGTTCGGTCTCCTGTTGACTGTCTGCCCCGCTCCTGATGAGCTTCACCTGTGTCTCTCTGTGTCTCTATGTACCTGTGCTCCTCTCCCGTTGTTGCTGGACTTTTATTTTGTTATCATTAGACCCTTATTTTTGGCATTTCTGCATTTTTTGGGTCCGTCATGCATCTCACCACATGATATTTTCCCGTTCAATCCAAAAAAAGAACAAAATAAAACTAAAGAAAACCAGGATTTTGAGTCCATTCTATGTGTCGGCCTTAGTCCTGCATCGCGCGCCCTCTGTCCTCGTTCTACAGCCTGAGTCCTGGATCTACAGCCCGTCCGTCTGTGTGGAGTGGGTCCCTCCCTCAATGTGGATCTCCCTGAGGTTTCTCACTTATCTCCCACTAGGTTTTAGAGTTTTTCCCTCGCTGATGCAGGAGGATCTAGGGGCAATGATCCAGGACACTCAATATTCTATACATTTATGGACACCAACATGCATAGACATTTCATTTTTATTTTGTCTTATTAAAAGAACTTTCTAAAACTTAAAAGGTATATAGGAGGATGTTCTACCTCCGGGTGGATCATCAAGACAAAAAATTTAACTTTTTATTTGTAGACATTGGTCATCTGCCCCTTATGGACCAATTGCTCTATGTGTTTTTAATCATTGCGTTTCTTGTGTTTGAACTGTCTGATTCTCTGACCTGTGTTGGCAATTTTGACAGTTGCATAAAGTCCTCAGCGATTACTACTGTTGTGATCTAGGTCTATACAAAAATACATTGAATTGAATCGAACCGAATCTCTGGAGTCCGGACTGTGACTCCGGTCCCATTCGCGTCCTGCCCGGGACGGAAGCACAGGTACACGAAACAGCTTTGCACTTTACACACAGCTGACACTTCTGCTGCTCTGAGCGACGGAGAAAAGCTGATCCGGAGCCAGCGCTGTCACCGTCTCATCAAAGAGCTGCTTGGAGAACAGCTGTTGACGTCAGCGCCGCCATGCTAATGATTCTTTCATCTCCCACAGAGACATATGGAATTCCAGCGGCGAGACGGTAAAGTCTTCAGCCGCGGTCTTCTGACGGGGCCTGACGCAGGAGAGACGGATTCTAAACAAGACGCAAGACTCAGGATGGGTTCATGCTTAGATTTAGTCCTGATTCAGTTCTGGTTTAGTATTGGGTCAGTCCTGGTTTAGTCCTGGTATTGCCCTGGTTTAGTGCTGGTTTAGTCCTGGTTTCGACCTGGTTTATTTGCAGAATAGTCTTGGTTTAGCTCTTGTTTAGAATGGTTCTTTTTATTGCCATGTGAGTAACAGGAAGTCACAAACAAGAAAATTGCTTTGGCTCTCAGTGCAAACAAGTTAAAGCAGAATAAAATCAAAAAGGCATGCATAAATAAAAATCGACATACTGTACATTTCTTCAATTTATACCAGTGCTCTAGGTGCACACAATAGGCCGTTAAGAGTGCGGTAGAGTTCAGTAAAGTGACAGTAAGTGACGGTCATAAGGTCAGAGGTCAGTGATGGTTTATGAAGTGTTCAAGAGTCCAACAGCAGAGGGGAAGAAACTGTTCCTATGGCGGGAGGTTCTAGTCCTGATGGACCGCAGTCTACTGCCCGAGGGGAGTGGTTGGAATAGTCCATGTGGAGGGTGAGAGGGGTCAGCAGTGATACGACCAGCCCGGCCTCGAGCTCTGGCGATGTACAGGTCCTGCAGCGATGGGAGGTTTAGTCCTGGTTTAGTCCCGGTTCCATCCTTACAGTCCAGGTTTAGACCTGATTTTGTCCTAGTATAGCCCTGGTTTAGTTCTAGTTTTCTCCTGGTTTAGTATTGGGTTAGTCCTGGTATAGCCCTGGTTTAGTCCTGGTATAGCCCTGGTTTAGTCCTAGAATAGCCCTGGTTTAGTCCTAGAATAGCCCTGGTTTAGTTTAGTCCAACTTCAGCCTTGGTTTACTCCTGGCTCCATCCTGTGTCAGTTCTGGTTTAGACCTGGTTTCATCCAAGTATAGCCCTAGTTTAGTCCTAGTTCAGTTCTGGTTCAGTCCTGGTTAAGCTCTTGAATAAAGTCTTGCCAGTTCTAATTACTGCATGCAAACAGGACGTTCCATAAAACCCTTACATTAATGAGATCTGACTTATTCCCATTCACTGTGGCCACATCAGTGCAGTGTAACTTTAAAAACATGAATCAAAAATGCGTGTCCGTAGTTATATAAAATATATTGTTTTATGGAAGTCTGTGCAGCGTGAGAGCAGCAGGTGATTCACGCCACACTGAGAAACATAATAAATGCAGACGCTTTCAGACGCCGAGCTGCATGAAACAAGTGAGCAATTAATATCCCATCATGCACTCTGGTCCGAGCGAACGCGGGATCCAGGTTTTGAGCTTCTAATGATTCTGTATCTCTTTTGCTTTTGTGGTTTTAAATGTAATTACAAAAGTTACTTGAGAAGGATGACGAGGTGCGGAGAGGGCTTTCTCGTCTTACCGTTGGAATTCAATTTTTTTTGTAAGGTAAGTAAGGCAGTCATTTTTATTCATATAGCGCCTTTCACAGACTAGGGTCACAAAGCGCTTTACGATAGTTAGTCCTCTTACGCCACATATAGATGGGAGCCAAACAGGAGGCTCATGCCAGACCTGTCGTACATGGATTTAGGGGAAGGGGGAAAGCCGCGCACCTGGAGGAAACCCACACAGACACGGGGAGAACATGCAAACTTCACACAGAGAGGCCTGGTTCCACTGGGTTTCTGAGTCTCTCCTTGCTGAAGCAGGAGGGTCCAAGGACAGTGATAATTCAGGACATTTTTATGAACATTTTTGGACATCGGTCATCTGCTCCCTATGGACCAAGGGGTCTCCCGTGATTCTCTGATCTGCGTTGGTCAAATCGACAACTTTGTATTGCCCTCCGAGACGACTGCTGCTGTGATTTAGGTGTTAAACAGATGTATTCAATTGAAATGACACAAATACTTTTTCTTTCCTCTGGGGACATCGCAAACGTGCTGTTCGTGCAAGGCAGCCCGGGAATTTACAGCAACTGGAGACTTGGACAGAATGGACAACACACACACACACACGCCCCATCTGCTACTAAATGTTGTGTTTCTGTATGTTAATTTGTCATGCTGTCTAGATATCTGTATTTATTTGTGTGGTTCCATATTTTGTTGCCGCTTTACGATGCCTTTTGTACAAATCACTTTTGTCTATTTTCACTTGGATAAAAATGGACAGCTCTACCATCAGAGATTTGATCTGTTTTAGTCATTTATTTGGATAGGTGTGTATTGATGAACAGTCAGGTGAGGATAGTCAAACAGGGCTATAATCAAAAATGCATTGAATTGAATATAACCCAATAAAAAACAATATAACCCTAACCCTACTAATATATGGTATGTTGTCACTCTTTTCTGATAAATGCTAATTTGTCCCCGATAGAATCTTGTAAAAGTAAAAAGTTGTGAACAAATCAAGCCATAACAGGCCGTTTTTTTAGTAACTTACTTGTAAGAAAGAGCCCTGTGAGTCACTTTTGTTGCTTTGGGGCTGAGAGCTGATTGGCTGAGTGCGGGCACCCCTTTCCTTTCTACTTTTCTGTCTACAAAAGCTGATCCAAATATGTGACAGAGGCCAGTAAATGTGAAACATGTGAAAACCAGGGGCTAGTTTGAGTTCATACTTCCATCTAGAAAGTTAGGCACCCCAGCTTTAACCTCTTTCAAACAGCACCTGAAAGGCTCCTCTATTTCGTATACATTTTCCGACAAAAGCTCCACAAACACTCATTAACCCTATTCTTTGATTTTTACCGAGACGTAGCCCGGGCAATCCACGAACTCGACACCAAGAGAATTGAAATCTCGCATGTAGTTTACATCCAGGCTCGGTATATAAATTAACTTTTTTTTTATTTTAACAATGAATAAAACATCTTCTTCTTCATGTAGAGGGGGATTTTTTTTTAACGACGGAGACAAGCGTCAAAGCGCGGACGGAGAGAATTAATGGCCGCCTTTGCTAACAATACGTCTCGTCCATAACAAAGCGGCTGAATGCATTGCTCTGGCCCTCCGCCCCAGTCAGCACAGTTCATCACAGCACGCTAACGAGGGCTAACCTCCGCCACACTCCGGCTCCACCGCTCGCATGCATTTTTTATCAGGCGCAATTACTCAGGGCTTGTTGATATTTCCCATTCATTTCATTTGGGAACATTTGCATTGGATGACCAGGGGCCCGCTGTAGGGCTGGTCCAGGCTCGCGCCAGTCTGGACCCACGGATGCAAATGGACGCCGGGAAAGGTCAGGAGGTTCGCGGCGTGTGTCCACTTCCCCCCACGAGGATAGTTTTTTGGGGTAATTGGACAAAAGTTGGAGTCTCGGCGTGGGAAGTGAAGTTTTTAATTGTCAACATTGTCTTTTGCGGATGTTGTTGTTACAAAATTGCAGAGATGTGGAGCGTGGGTTGGACTTGATTCACTTTTTTAATGACTTTAACTATTGAAATGTTAAATAGAATATATCATGCCTTATTGTTGACAATTCAAAATGAGAATGAGACTCTTTCCTTTGTCATTTCATGTTTTAGAATGTCAAATAATAGTTTAATCAAAAATGTCTTGACAAACAAGGAATGAAGGTTATAATTTCTTTCTGTCTGTAACTCCCTATGCGGCCACCAGAGGGAGGAACAGATTGTTTTCTTCTACTACAAAATAGAAAATGACCAGCTGCAAACACAGACAAGTGATTGTACAGAACGTATTTTCACTTGAGAAATTGCTAAAACTAATTCAGGAGCGATACTTTTGTTTTAAAAGGAGTGTGATGTCATAGTAGTGCGATGACATCATACTGATACAGGATGGAGACATGAGCGTTTAGACAGAGGGGCGGAGTCACATGTTTGTGCCAGAAGATCTTGATATTACCGTGGATGGATCTCAGAGAAACTCCAGGTCTGTGAATGACGAGGAACTGCTTTGTTTCCTTAAATAGACAAATATTTTGGATCGAAAGTAGAAAAATATCTTCCAAACTTTTCCATATGTGCTCTTTATGAAAACGATTTTAATTGCACTTTTACGAAACGGCCGTGATGACGGGACCGCTGGACCCGGCCTCTGTCATCTGTGTGTCTGTGGACTGGTCTCCCCCGGCCTGGACTCATGGGCTGCACCCCCATGGAAGCCTCTTCAGTCCTGCACCGCACAGCCTCAGTCCTCGTTTTACAGCCTGACTCCTGGATCTACACCTTGTCTGTCCGATGGAACTGATTGGTCTCTCAATTTGAGTTTCCTCGAGGTTTTTTCCCACTGGGTTTTGTTGAGTTGTTCCTTGTCCTTGCATTTCCTGTGTCAAACGGTTTGATTCTTTGATCTGTTATTGGCCAATCAACAACTTTGTAAAGTACTCTGAGACGACTGCTTTAGTGATTTAGTGCTATAGACAAATACTTTCATAAGTGAAAACATCCAGAGTCTTATAATTCTCCCACAGACTTTACACTGACATCACGTCAATCCATGATTAAAGCTGGGATACCTAACTTTTCATGAATAATCCATGTTGTTTGTCAAAGCAGAAAAACTATTGTAAAAGACCACAACTGGCTGAGTGACGGGGGCCCCTCTCTTTTCCACTTTTCTGTCTGATATTTTTTAATCTACATTTGTGTCAGAGGCAGAAAGAAACAACGTGTGAAAACTCGTGATAGAACAAAATGATTTTCAGAGCGAGGCCGATGGTGTCTGGATTTTATCAGATTTTTTGTCAATGTCAGCTTTGATTGTGTGGCACATTTACAACAACACCAGCTGCCCAAAAAGCTTCACAGGCAAAAAAAAAAAAAAAAAACAAAGAAAACAGCATGAAATACATAGATATACTGTACATGTAAAAGTAAAATGGTAAAACTCAAACTCAAAAGCCCGGTCTCCTCGAGTTTCAAGACGAGACCTTTTTGTGGTTTTAAAAGTCAGGTACCCCGGCTTTAATCACACAGAATACACAAAGACTAATGTTTAAAACTCTCCACGGGGAACTCAAAGCCACCGGGGCCGCTTCGGAGCCACTTCTCTCCAAATCTTTTCTCTCATTCTCCTGTCAATATCATCAGAATATAGCTTTATAGCTTTTTGAAGACTTCCAGGTATTTAAAAATTATTATCATTATATATATATATTTTTTTACTTTCCTAGTTCTGGCGTCGATCGCACATCACTCATCACTTCTCATTAGCGCGCGTCCTGCTCAATTAGCCGCGCCGCGCTGATGCTAGCAGATGAAAAGACGCCGTGATCAGTGGCTCCCTGACAGCGCGGAGGTGATCGGAGCTTGAGTGACAGCCCCTGGGTTCGGTTCCCTCCTTCTCCGACGGGGCCCGGGATGCAGAGCTCGCACGTTTCGACTGACAGGTGCGCAGACACGTGCAACTCGGCGCCGCTTATGCAGATTAACACGTCAAAAAAAAAAAGTACAAATGGAAAAAAGTAAAAGCGGTAAGCGGCAATAAAGCGTTTAGCCTAAGGGAACGCCATCATTAACGGATTAAACAAATGAGCTGCAAAACAAAAGCGCGCCGAGTCAAAAGGATTCAAGGCTAAAAGCGGGAAGGGGAGGGAGGGGAGGGGGGAGTAAAGGAGAATTTTTAATTGTGGTGATATTTTTACCTGCAAAGAGAGGATGGGGTGAGAGGGGGGGGGGGGGTTGAAAGCAAGTAAATACTAAGAGAGGTTATATATATGAAAGAAACGGGAGAAACTCAACCCCCCAAAAAAATGAGGTGCGACATCACAAGAGCTCCATCAATTCCCACGACGCGGCGGCAAAAGAACGGAGGCGCAAAGGGGGTAAGAGCCAGCGGGGAATACGGCGGGGTCGGGAGCAGGAAGCAAAAAACCCCACGGATAACGACGGCGGCGGAAGGCCTGAGTGCCGTGTTTTTGTGACACTAAAAAGAAAAATGCGGCGTTCTTTGAAAAGCAAATGAGTTGAACCGCGGGTCACGCTGCCCGTCAAATATTTGTGGCGACTTTGTAGAAAAATACACACACACAAACAGACACACACACACACATACGCACACACAACTGCACAAAACAGACCTCACCTCCGCTTCAACTTTCGGGAGGTGGCGGCCATTGGGTTTTAAGGAGAGAAAAATGTTTGTAATATTATTGTAATTGGTAATATGGAAAGGCAAGGCAGGTTTAATTGTATAGCACAGTTTATACACAAGGCAACAAAAGTGCTGAACAAAACAACCACACGAGGCAAAACAATAAAAAATCACAGTACATTAAAAAGAGTGAAGCTCCAATCCTTTGGTTGTGTGCACAGATAAACAGAACTGTTTTTAATCTGGATTTAAACATCTTCAGAGGAGAAGCCTGTCTCACATTTTCAGGAAGACTGTCCCTGATTTCAGCTGCATGAATCTGAAACGCTGTCTCCCCATGTTTAGTTCTGACTCTAGGCACTAGCAGCACGCCAGTCCCTCTGTCCCTCAGAGTCCCAGTAGGAGGCTAGTCCCTGTGCTCCTCAGAGTCCCAGACCAACACAAAGTGGCGTACAATTGTGAAGTGAAAGCACAAAGAAAGAATGATTTGTGGTGAGCATGACTAATACTTGTGCAGATTCCTCCATCTCTGTAGTCTTCAGCTCCTCCAAGACTTATTATTGGCCTCTTTTCGATTAGTTTTGCAGTTGTGCCATATTCTTTCCGTTCCCGAATGAAGGGTGCAACAGGGCTCTGTAAGTAAGTAAGTAGTAAGTAATCTTTATTTATATACCGCCTTTTCACTGCACATCGGAGTCTCAAAGCGGTTTACAATTGTTATTTTTGGGAGCAGGGGTGCCAGTACAGGAGGCGCATGCTAGACCTATTGTACATATTTTTAGTGGTAGGGGAAACCGGAGCACCCGGAGGAAACCTACGCAGACACAGGGAGAACATGCAAACTCCACTCAGAAAGGCCCTTGGTCCAACCGGGATTCGAACCCAGGACCTTCTTGCTGAGAGGCGAGAGTGCTATCCACTCAGCCACCGTGCCGCTCTGTAAGACGTTCAAAGTTTGAGAAATGTGTATATGACCTGTCCATGCTTTAGTCTCGTCCTAAGTTCATCCTTGACCTCGCTGAAGTTTTCCTTGGACTTCATGATGCTGTTTAGTGAGAGCCTTATTCTCCTCAACCTCCGTGGTCATCACAGATCAGTGGTATACGTGCTGAGATTAGACCACACTTCGCTTCCCTGAGTAGATAGGTCGACATTTGACCACTCAGAAATCCTCAAACAACCGGTTGCCTCGCTTCTGTCAGTGTGCCCCAGGGCAGCTGTGACTTCAGTAGTAGTTTATCACCACCGTGTTTGGAGTGAATGAATAATGACATGTGATGTATCAAACAGTGTGAGCACAGGAAATGCAACAATAACAAACACACAGGAGCCATTGGGCCGCAGGGAGCAGGACAACCACTGTCCAGAAATGTCCTTTATTAACCTTTTTCAATCATTCAATCAATCAACATTTAGTTGTCGGTGTTTTTCCAACACAAGGTAACAGATCCCCTCTCACATGAGGCATAAATCAGAGATATTAAAATCACATAGGGCATTCAAAACAACCATTGAGATCACACAGAATTTAAAAAACACACATTTAAATCTCACAGGTAATTATAATCATTAATTTGGGCGGCACGTGGCTGAGTGGCTAGGTTTGAATCCCGGTCAGAAAAGGGTGTTTCTGAGTGGAGTTTGCACGTTTGCGTATTTCCTCCATGTGCTCCGGTTTTTCCTTGACCAAGCCGAGCACCAACATATGTACTACGATGACCACTGCTCCTGACGTAAGCTTTAGTGGCATCAGGATGGGTCAAATACAGTGGACAAATTTCCCTAAGAGGATAATAAAGTGCACATTCACATTTAGATAACCACATGGCGCTAAAAAAGAAAAGATACAAACCTTCAGTTTTTTGCACAGCTAAATGGAACTGTCTTCAACCTGGATTTGAACAGTGTCAGAGTAGAAAACTGTCTCACATTTTTAGATAGACTGGTCCACTTTCTGTTGGGGCAAACAAAAAAATGGTCAAGTTCCCCAGTTTCAAGCAGTATGTAAAAACGTAACTCCGCTGAGGCCAAATCCAGACAGTCCTTCGAACCAAAACCCACACATTTCCAGACAAAGTTGCGCGCGTAAACAGCATAGCATGCGCCCGCACTTATCTCAGCTGCGCTCTCGTCACCGCCTCTAAATTGGGCCTAAAATGCCCCCCGGCTGCCCCCCCCTTGCCTGCCCCACCCCTCGCCCCCCACAGACACCACGCTCCCCATGAACCTCCACAGCCTCCGATCCACCGCTATCGATTTTCCTAACTACGTGTGTTTACTCCTCGTACTCCTATAGCGCTCTCTTTCCCTGCAGCTTTTTTTGCGGAGCTCGCTTTTGGCCTGGGGCGACCGGCGCGGCTCAGCTTGTTCCAGGCTTTGATCATCGTTCAGCCAGAGGATTAACATATGCACGCCGTCTTTCGTTGCCTTTTGTCGCCGGAGCGGGATAATAAGTTCGGCGCCCATCTCCAGCGCGCCCGTGCGAATCAGTCAGCGTCAGGCGTGGATGCAAATGGCTCCCGATCAGTGTAATGGCCTGCTTATTAAAACAAAGATCGGATCGCTCTCCTGCTCGACATTGAGATAAAGGGAAGGTAGTGTTAAGGAATCATTATGACAATAGAAAATAAGAGGGATTTTGGTGTATTACAGCCAGAAGTCCCACACGTCATTACAGAAGCTAAGGGGATGGCTTAAAGTTGGGGTATGTAATTTTTAAACCACACACATGTATTGCATTCCATCTGGTTTGGATCAGTTTGTCCCAACCACATCTCTCAGCCCAAAGTGTCAAATAGTCCGTCAAGTATGTAAGTAAGTACTTCATTTATATTTTTACAGACCAAGGTCACCCAAAGCGCTATACAGTGTTCAGAGTTCAGATACTGTTCCATTCTCTCCACACGGTGATGTCGGAAGCGGGACGCCGAACACACCGAGGCATCAAAGGCCCGACCAACACCATCCATTCACTCATTCATTACATTCAGACATATGGTGCATGTTTTTAGTGGTAGGGGAAACCAGTAGCACCTGGAGAAAACTTACACAGACACGGGGAGAACATGCAAACTCCACTCAGAAAGGCCCTGTTCTGACCGGGATTCGACCTTGGGACCTTCTTGCTGAGAAGCGAGAGTGCCGCCCCAAGAATCACAGGGTTCTTTCTTAACTTGCGCCCATCTTTGAGTGGAGTGACAAGACAAATGCCCACAACAATTGTAAAGAAATTTGTGACTTTATAAATCTATGTATATAAAGATTACATACTTACTTTTTCTTGTAAATGAATGCACAAGATGATTGGATTTGGAACAATTATGAAGCTAAAGTGGAAGTTTAGACTGAAAGACAGGAGAACTAAGCTCACCGCGCTCAAAGTCCTCCCACTGTCGCTCACGGCAACAGCATCAGTCAATCACTCTCTGCTGCAGCGCCACACTGCCCTCACCTGGCAGCAACCAGGCACTGCCCGCTTCATCTCGCTCCTTTCAAGCAGCAGCTTCATTCACGCAGCAACCCTCCTCCTCCCCATCCCCAACCCCTCCTCCTCCCCTAACCACATTTCTGTACAGCAACAATAAATGTCATCTTGATAATATTGTCCTCAGAGTCATACTGTATGTGTAGTTGATGTAGAGTCAGATTACCTGCCCGGCAAAATACAAATCTAACAACCATGTTTTGTCTGTTCCAGTCTCTCCAGATGGAACAACAAAATGAAACTTTCTTCTCAAAACTGTTTAGAATCTGTATAAAAGCTCTGAAAGAACCAGAGTTAAATAGTTAAATCACTCACCAGTGGCTCTTGCTTATGAGTATGCAAAAGATACAAATTCTGATCAACAATATTTTCTGACTAAAACTATTGATAATTCAGTTTTAAAATGTGTACATATTCACAGATACTGTATGTACATTATAATCCTGAGTACCTATACCCAGATAATTCTATTCTTACAATATTATCTTATTGTTATTATGTTTATTATTTTCAGATTGTTACTTTAATGTTATTTTTTATTGTGAAATTCTATGCGAGCTACTGTGAAAATGCAATATCCCTTGTTTATCATCAATGAAGTCTGTCTAAATCTGACTAAAACTCGGGCAATGTATCTTAATGCTAGTTTGGTTCTAGCATTGAGCTTTTAGACAGAACAATGAAAAAGAGACGACCGCTCCCTCACTCGGCCAATCAGCTCTCAGCCCAAAGCGTCAAATAGTGACTCAGAGGGCTGTTTGTTACAAGTCTGCAAAAAGAATACTCGTTTTCTAATAAGGCAAAGACAGAGCATGTAGCGGCCTGTTTCGTTCCACAACATTGAACCTATACAAATATCCACACATGTATATATATAATTATGTTTAGGGCTTTTAGTGATGTTACCCAGCTTTAAGAGTGCGACATCACAGCGCTACAGTGAGAAAACACACACCCTCCCTTTAAGCCAGGGTGTGTGTTTTACTAATGTGCTCTTTACAACTAGGACACAGCAGCAGCAGCAGCAGCAGTCGGGGCTCAGGCAGGTGGCTGCGCTGCTCACGCTGGAGACGCTCCCTGTTGACTTTTTATTTATTGCGACCTAATTATCCGTGTATGTCAGCAGCTTTGGCCTAAATGCCATAAGCTCCTGGTCTGTCTCCGTCTCCCTGTTCTCAGCGGTGCACGTTGTTCCGACAGCACGAACCTGCAGATACATGAGCGCTGCGAAAGAGAAGTTTAAAAAGGCCCCTTTAAAAAGTTCGGTGTGACTTCTACTATTGAACTACTACTACTTCTACTGCTACTATTGAAACGGGACTTGCCAATGAAACGTATGCAGCGAATCAGGATTTTTGTCCCCACTGTGGCCTGGTGTTTTTGACTTGTGTTGAAAATGCCAGGAAAGCAGTGGATATTGTTGCTGTGTTGTTTAGACCCGTGTCGGCATGTCAACATCAAAGGCTCATAACAAACTTGCGACTTTTAAAATAAGTGTTTCTTAAGTCTTTGTCATCCACATGGAGCAATATCAACATTTTCATACATTTCTTACATGGACAACTTAATAAAGCGGCCATACCTGCATGTGAAAGCCAGATCCCATTAGATTTCTGAAGCAAAGCAGGCAGGGTCTGGCTAGTACTGTGATGGGAGACCACTGGAAACACCAGGTGCCACAGTGGGGCGGCTGCGGCTGTAAAGTGCCAAACTGTCTAGAACAGGGGTGCCCAAAGTGGGGCCCGCGGGCCAAAGTTGGCCCGCCAGATCATTTCAGTTGGCTCGCCAAACATTGCCCACCTCCGCTATAAGTTTCTATCTGCGTCCCTCAGCCTCGCTGAATTAAGCGACATATTTCAGATCGCGCGGGCGCAGAGTAGCCCTCTGAACTCCGACTGTCCAGTACTTAACTGTTGTATCGAGATACACTCCTCACTCATGGTTCACATCAACTTGCACTAAAATGTTTTTTAAAATCAAACACATCTTTCAAAACAATTGGGTGCAAGGCCCCTTTATGTTCTTTTTTTTCAGCCTACTATTATTATTTTTTGGAGCTATTTAATGTTTTATCAAATTGAGAGGATTGTGCTGGCGAACTGCCACTCCCCCTCCTCACCGGAGGGAAATGGCGAGTGGAACTATTCACCTGCGCAATCCGCACCCACCCGGTGTGTTAAAAAGGACGGACACAAACACTTCAGAGTGAGTTCAAGCAGGACAAGCAGGGATCGCAGCGCACGATCCACGCAAGTAGAAGCAACAAATACTGTGCAAAACAAACCCTTCTACAACCCCATGAAAGAAGCCGGTAAGCGCCGTCCTCACTCGCGATCATTGAATGTCAGAACTTACGCTGAGTTTTATGATGCGTTCAAGAGCCCTTTGGAGGAGCGGAAACACGGACTCTTTAACAGTTACTTTGTTTTGATTGTTTATAAATGTTGTACTGTGTTTAGCCATAACAAAACAAAACTCCAGGAACAAATCAGGGTTAACAAGTCTGATTTTGTTAGTTTAATATTCAGTTCACTACTAATTGAGAATACTTGTCCTATGTTAAAACAGAGTTAAAACCTGATCATGTTTAGAAAATGCAGTTAGCAATTATGTTCCCAAATTCATTACTTAATGGTAAAATGTATTGTTTAAAAGTGTGCTAAAACCAGATCTATTGATCAGTGATGTCTCCCCTTTTTGATAAAAGCTAAGATAAAGTAATATGATTCAAATGTAGTTAAAAACTTTTGTTCAAAATAAATATATGAAAATAGACTTGGAAATTGCTTTGGCTCAGTGCAACAGAGATAATAAAAATAAAGAATAAAAAACACTTCTAAGGAATAAATTTAAATTTAAAATAGAGTTACAGTTACTATTTACAATATACAAGTGCACATGGTGCACACAAAATGTATGTTTCTGTTCTCTTTTTGAGGTTTTATTATATGATTTTAACCTTTAAATCTCCCTCCTCTGGACCCTGATTACCCGGCCGGAATCTTTCCGTACTGTAGTCTCCTCAAACCTGCATATTTCCCTGGAGTCTCCACTTCACTAAGACTGTGTTGATTTAATTCATTCAGCTGTGATTTGCACTGATAGACAATAATTAATGCATTTAAAAGAACTTGATCAAATCTACATTTATTTGTGTTTCATGCATAATATTGGTGTATTTGGCCCGCGGCCCACTGGCAAATTTTTACTTTGGCCCTTGGAAGCAAAAGGTTTGGGCACCCCTGGTATAGAATGAGTCTGGTGTGTGGTCGGAGGGGCCAATACCACATACTAGTTGCCTCGGTTCTGTCAGTGTGTCTCAGGGCAGCCATAGCTACATTAGCAGTTTAACACCATCGTGTATCAATCAATCAATCTATTTTTACTGAGCGCTTTCCCTACACAGGATTATCGAGTATGGAGTGAAGGAAAAATGACAAGCGTCTTTGAGCATCCAAAATAATCGTTGTATAAAACCGATGTGACAAGCAGCAGCAGCACTAGAGGCCTCTTGCTTCACATATTTTGGAACGTATAACATTGAGACTGATCCGCAAACACCAGCAGATTGCCACTGCGGCCCCTTGTAAGTAAAAAGTAACAAAGCGGCGGATCGAAAAAATACTGTTTTACTATATTGTCGATAGTTAAAACACTTTACTTTGTTCTATCCACGGCCTGAATAGAATCAAAGACAAAAATGACCTGATTTCCGGTAAAAGAGGGCTGGTGGAGACGC